ACGTATTGACAACCATTATCGACAAACTTTCCGAGGTACATGTTTTCTCGGTAATTTCCGACAATATACCGGCCTCTTACTATTTCCGACCGTCAAACGCCGACAGATTGGCATTTCTCGGAAAACCCTCGGATATGAGGTCTTCCGACAATGTTCCGATAAAATTGATTATCGGTATAAGAATCTTTTTCTTGTAGTGGTACAAGTATCATGTACGCATACGTGCATATCATGTTTAAATAAGCCATTAGTTAGGTGCCCAGTAAATGACACGCCAAGCTGTGAGGAGTAATAAGTTCTTAAATGAAACCACCAACAAATGATGGCCAAACTTATCCTAAATTAATTTTGATTCTAACTTCTGATACTAGGAGTTATCCTTTGTTTGTAAATTTGTATCAAATACTCCTTACGTTTCAATAAGATAGATGTTTTAGAATTATCACACATATTAAGAAAACCTCTTAAACTTTAATTCTAAGTGTATTATTTTTTGTGTTTAATTATTTCTCATAAGTGATAACCAATCAAAATTCAATAAAACAGTTAATTTTTTAAAAGTCTACTATTTATCATTATTAGTTGCATTGAAAATATAAAAAAAAATCTATAATATGGATCATTTTAAAATGGAAAGAGTACCATAGTACGATTTAACATACCACCACCATCTCTTATCTATTTGTTATCTTTTACCGTCATCTCATAATTAATTGTCATTTTGAAATGCACTATTACTGTATCTATATTATGGAGAAAGAAAAAGAGAGTATTTTTTTCATTTGTATAGTTGAAAATCCAAATGTGTATTGAAAACGTACACGTACATTTTAGGTATAGCCTACGAAAAGAAACTCTGGTTTCTAATTTGGATGTATATAATAAACCAACCACATCCACCTATTCTTCTCAGTCTCTTTTCTACTCTCAAACTAAATAAAAAACACCAAATATCTTTCCCTCTCTAAACATCTTCCCACCAAATTAGCCCTTTCGCTACATTTATTCCCCTCTAGATATTTTATTGATGGACCACTCATCTTCTTCCGAATCACATCTTGATGACTGCCGGAGAAGGCCTCAGCCTAAGGCCACGGCGAGAGCAGTGAATAATAATGATAATATCAAGAAGAAAAGAGTCAAAAAAGATCTTGATGATGAAAAGATTGTTTCAAGTTTCAGAGGGGTGAGAATGAGACAATGGGGAAAATGGGTTTCCGAGATCAGAGAGCCAAAGAAGAAATCAAGAATCTGGCTAGGTACTTTCCCCACGGCGGAGATGGCTGCTCGTGCTCACGACGTGGCAGCTTTAGCCATAAAAGGTGACTCTGCTCATCTCAACTTCCCGGAGCTAGCCTACCACCTCCCTAGACCGGCTAGTGCCGACCCTAAAGACATTCAAGCAGCCGCAGCCTCCGCTGCGGCTTCAGTCTTCAATGATATGGAGGTAGAGACGTCTTCACCGTCTACTGGAAACACGGAACTGTCGTCTCCGGCTATGGCCTCAACGGCTGACGACGCGTTCACCGACCTTCCGGATCTCTTGCTCGACGTGAACCACAAAAACGATGGCTTTTGGGAGTCCTTCCCTTACGAGGAACCCTTCTTCTCGGGAAGTTACTAGAAAACAAAGACGGTGTGGTCAGGGTTACGTTTTTTTTTTGTCATGTGAAAACTTTGAGGTAAAAAAATCACTTGTTTTTTTAATATAAAAAAATCACCTGTTGATTCAAGAAAATCGTAATGTTTTATGATCGATTTTTGTTTTGTTTTTCTATCTTTTAAGTATTTCTTTTTTTTTTTGTAAATTTTTTACGTGGGAAAAATGTATGTGTGAATTGTGATATGTAAGTTTTAAATGTTATTTGTTTCCCATTCTTGTGTGTAGGCCTGTGGTTTCCTACAATTTTCCGTAAAGTTTTCCAGATGTATGTTTCTGACCACTACATTGCCTTTTAGGTCTGACATAGCTTTTTCCTCCAATATTAAAGCTGGCATATGGATAGAAACCAAGATCTTTTTGTTTGTAACATTAATGCCTCTATTTAATCAAAGAGAAAATAAGTTTGCACTCCAACCTATAGCGAATAAGTTGGACCAGTAGTAAGAGCATTTTAAGTATATTCTATATTTTATTTTGTAAACAAATTTCAACCCTATTTTATATTTGAATCCAAAATAGAATAAAGTAACACTTAATAATATTATAATTTCTGATATTTCAAATAAAAATAGAATAGTACACTAAAATGCTTTATTGTTTTTGATAAAAATAAATGAGAAAAGGAGGTGAAATATATATCACTAGAGACAAATTTTGTTATATTTTCTATTTTTGTTATCATTTCTATTGAATTTCTTTTATTTAATCTTTCTGTCATTTTCTAGTTTCCAAATTGATTCTCAATTCTCCTCTTTTGGTGTGAGTTTTTTGCTCATAAATTGGAAATGAATTGACCCACTGGACCATTTTATTTTAATGCTTTTAATGTCTTTAATGTCCTTTTTGTTGGAACTGATTTTTATTGAAAAGCTATGTTTTTGTTTCTATTAGGTCTCGATATTTCATACAGTGTTCCAAAAGGCCTCTATATTTCATACTACTAAATATTCGAAAATGTGAAAACGATACTTTTTAGTCTTTTTTTTTTTGGAAAAATACTTTTTAGTCATCTAGAACATCTAGATATTTGAGTTTAATCATATTGAAAATGTTAAAACTATCATCTGAATCCACAAGATAAATTATTTAATTATTTAAACATCATGAATTGTTTTTTTTAAACAGTGAATTGGTTTTTTATGCATCTATTAAGAACGAAAAAAAGGTTATGCAAATTGTATATGCAAACACAAATCAAGTTTTTACGTTTGGCTTTAGATAACAGATTTATGCTGAATACAATCTCTTATAAACAAAAATGTTGTAAACAATCAAATTTTAATTGAAAAGTAAGTGATGAGAATACATACATAAATACCGCTGAAATATTTATGCTGTATCCTTTATTGTAGAGCCAAGCAATAAACACAAAACAAGTTATCAAATTATTGTAAAGTTTAGTGTTAAAAAAGGTGCGCAAAGAGCAATTACTAAGAGCATGGCAGGGCAGGAATTCATAACCTGTCTAAACCCCAGTTGCATACCTAATTACCTATGATCTAACTTTTTACTTGTTGATTTTATTTTTAATTAAAATTTTGATGATATTCAAATTGAGTCTATATAATCAAGAGAAATTTGATTCCCTACCAAAAACTATAGCATAATTTGCAAAATACCAAATCCATAAAAGAGGTTACTGTTCATTGTGGTTTTTTACTATGCTACCCTTTTCACATCAAATTCTCATTTGACCAATATGAACGGGTAGACACAATCTAATATAACATATTGTGATATCTCTATGAAGTAACTATTGGTCTTTTCTGGTTTTCATTTTCTAGTATTTAAATATGCTATGTTTTAAGTATTTGATATGGAAATTCCGAACTTTGTGTTGTTTTTTGTAAAGTTTAGGATTTATAGAAATAAGCAAAGTTTAGGATATATAGGATTAAATATATTACTCATATATTTGTATTTCTAGCCGGTCAAGTGGTTGACGATATTGTATATGACTAATAATATCTTAGGGGGGTTAGCATTTAGCGTATAGATTTATTTAACGGTTTAGTGTTGAATTTTTAAGATATATAATATATTACTCAGATATTTGTACTTCTAGTCGGCTAAATGGCTGACGAAATTATATATGACTAACAATATCTTAGGTAATTTATAATATTAGCCGTATGTTATATATATTACTCATATATTTGTCATGCTAGCCGGCCAAGTGACTGACTATATTGTATATGACTAACAATATCTTAGGTAATTTATAATATTAGCGTGCCATAATAACTATTAGCCACATGTTATATATTACTCATATATTTTTAATGCTAGCCAGTCATGTGGTTGACGATATTGTATATTCAGCTGTAAGTGATCTTCGATTAAGTAGTTAGGGTTCAGGGTTTGTAGTTAAAGGTTTGGGTTGATGATTTAGAGTTTAGAGTTTAGGGTTTATAGATATCCAAGGGTTCGGAGGTATGCAAGGGTTTATGATTTAGAGATATACAAGGGTTTAGGATTTATGGTTCCAGATTTACTCATATATTTGTCATGCTAGTCGGACAAATGGTTGATGATATTGTATACTCATCTAGAAGTGATTCTTGGATTAAGTTGTTAGGGTTCACGGTTTTGCCCTTCCTCTCCAGTTTAATGCTTGAACCTTAGTTAGATGACTAACAATTTGTATACTACCTCCGTTCTATAATATAGGATGTTTTACCAAAAACACAAGAATCAAGAAACTTACTTTCTACCAAATAATAATAGATATTTATGGTGGATAAACCAATCATAAATAATACAGTAAAATCTTATTGGTCAATCAATTTTTAATAAAGTTAAAGTACCTTAAGACTATCAAAACATCCTATATTTTGGAACATCAAAATTTCTCTAAAACATCTTATATTATGGAACGGAGGTAGTATGAGGTAATCATCAATATTTTCGCGTTACAGTAAATTTTAGGTGTGTACTAAAACTCTTACTTATATATTTGTCATGTTAGCCGGTCAAGTTATCAACGATATTATATACTCATCTGTGAGAAATTATGGATCAGTCCTCAGGATTTTGTAGGTATAGTTAAATAAAGAATTTAGTGTTTCGTGTATAGGTTTAACAGTATAGAGTTAATTAAAGGATGTAACTTCCGCTAATATAAATGAAATCTCTATTTTATCTTACCAAATCTATCTAAAGTTTTTTTGTCAGAGATAAGAATTCGAAGACAAAATCCGATCAGCTGAGATATCAAGTAGACAGAGTATTTTGGTCATTGTCACATCACTTGTTTTACCACGTACACTTTTCCTTTTTCCTCTTTGATATTCTTCTAATTTTCTTAATTTTTTTTGGTTTTTACCTAAATTGCTCTATGATCAAAGGCATTATTTTTACGTACGTACATTGTCACAGGCTAACCACAATGTTCGCCTATCACACTGTAGCTGATGTATTAGCAAAGAAAAGCTGTACGATTGACAATACATTGGAGCATGTTCCACTGCTGTCCAAATATTCTCAAACACTCTAATTTCTGACGTTGAAATATAAAAAAATCTCCAACGTCGAAAAAAACAATACGATAGTCAAATGTTGATACAAGCACATTAATGACATTAAAGCAATTGAATAAGTAAAGGCCCATTACATTTATAAATTAAGATGTCAAAAATACGATTTTATAAACAGTGGGGATGAAAACAGAAAGTAGAATGGACCTAAGATTTAAGCAAGGGTCAAATCACCACTGAAAGCCCCCTAAAACCCTCCGTCGAATAGACATAAAATATAAGCATTGGTCAAGTTTCCTGCTCACTCGTGCGGATTTGATTGTTCCCTATGATGGGCGATGAAGCAGCATCCACAAGGCCGCAGAACAGACAACTCTATGCGTAACTGAAGTTGTTTCCAATTACATTGATTATTTTTTTGTTGAATTATATATTTAATTTTGCGATTTACAAAGAGAAAGGTGTATCAGTCACACAGATACTGAACATTCAAATTTATGGCAAAGTAGAACTATAAGAAATATAAAAAGGAACTGGTTTTTGATAATAAAGGTTAATACATTGGATATTCATACATAACGCACGTTGAATAATAAATTGATCACAAACCCATGTTACAGCGTATCTAAACCTACTAAATAGAATCAACAAGCTTGGAAAAAAAAATCAGCAAGGCGACAGAGTACTGAATCGAGAAGATTGACAGCTGGATCTCTGCAAGATATAATGAGTCAACAACAAGCATATCGTACAAACACACAAGAAACAAAACCAAAGGTCGATTCTTATCAATTACAAAGACGAAACAATAACAAATCCAAAAAAGGGTAATAACCATCAGGAACCAAAAGTTATCATCACAAGCAATACAGACCGCATCAAGGTTAATCATTAAAATGACCATCACTTGGTTATTCAGCCCTTTCTTCTCATTAAAAGATAATAATAAATGCATGACAATTCTACTAACAGAACAAAAAACACTACTGTAATAAAAAAACAGTAAAGCCTCAGAATTGCAGAAGTATCATCAAATAAAAATAATCAGTCCCGAAAGATGGTGTTCTTTTAATAATCTGATCTCCTCATCGGCTCTAAACAAACCCTAATTAACTACAACAAAATAAAAGAAATATATATAGATCTCATGGCCGACCCAAACGGTAAAAGCAGCGACGCCGCTCCGCAGAGCAACAGAATATGAGAGCCCCGTTTAACCTCAGACGGAGAAGCCGTGAGGCTCCTACAACGTCCTCGGTTTAAACACTTCCGCTTTGTGACGTATACTTGTGGATTATGCAATCACAGTTTATTCAGATTGCTCCTTCGTAAGTATTAGATTCCTTGGAGAGAAAACTCGTCACTAACAATAATTAAGAATAACAAAACCACTTAAAACTAATAGGGAGAATAAACTACTGTTGAAGAAGAATCGATAGAATCGATGGGATGAAGATGGTTCGTGATGTGTTTTATATACAGTAGATGAAGGAAGAAGCCCTAGAGATTCTCAGCGTCCTAACAATACGGCCTTATGTCAGTTAAAGGGCTAGAATGGATATAAAATAGCCCAACTAAAGCCCAATAGTAATTGAGTGGATTACACGTTGAACAATCAAACCGGACATGACTTTTCTTCTTTTCTCTTTTTTTCACGACATGACTTTTCTTTTTTTTTCAAACGGGACATGACTAAAGATTTGAGATTGTATTGTGTCTGGCTTTGTAGAGGAGGGAAGATGGCTTTGACTTTATTATAATCTTTTGAGGTATTTATTCAACCTATATTAAGCATTCCGACTTTGTAATCATAAGCACTTGATATACACCAAAGCAAAACAGTAATTTATTTTCGAAAATCACATGTAGGTGAATGTTGTTTCATCACACTCTCATTTGATAGTTTGAACTTTGAATCTTTCCTCCAGTGTGTCTTGGCTAGGTGTGGACGCTGATAGGATATCCAGATTTTTCAATGTATTTGTGATTTGCTTCGAATGTTACGGATATCTAATTTTGGTATTTTTTTCTTCGGAAAATACGGATATCCGGAAAAATGAATATCCAAATAGATATTTGCGGATATTTACGAATATTTACGGAGATCTAATCCATTTTGATTAATACAAATAATCTTAAAATTTTGATATAAATTTGCTTTGCAAAAATATTTTTTTGCATGATATATAAAATAAAAATTAAAAGAACTATTAAATTTACATATTTTGTAATTTTTGAAGTTTAAGTTGCAATTGTAATAATACAAAAGTTAAGAACAAAAAATATAATTGTCATTATTTTTTTTTATGTAATTCATTTATATAAGTAGTAATGTGAATATAATTGTTCAAAATCATATGTTAGAATAATAATTATATAATTTTAATGATTTAAAATTTTAAATATAGTCAATATATACATATATTTATATATTTACGGATCGGATCAGATATCCGCTTCCCAAAATTTTAATATTTGTGATTTATTTTTATTTTAACGGATATTTATTTTTAGTATTTGCTTTGATTCGAAAGTTTACGGATATCCAAAATTTTTGGATCAAATCGAAACGAATAACAAATCGAATTAATTTTAACGGATAAAATGCCCAACCCTAATCTTGGCCAAGGCCGTGCACATTTGGTGGCCCAGAAAAAGAAAATTGGCTCCATAAAATAAAACTTAATTAAATAGCACTCAGGATTTGAACTTAGGTTCAAAGGAAATAAATCTCTTAAAGCTTGTTTGCACCATCTCAGCTACCAGATTATTTAAAAAATAGGCCCCAAAATAAATTTTATACTTGATCAGCTTTTATTCAGGCGCTGGTCTTGGCTTGTGCTAAAGTATGAGAAACGATGCTGATGGGAATAATAAAGAAGTAGGTTGGTATACGATTTTCTTTTTCGCAGACACATGACTCATTTTCCTTGTTTGAAACTTGAGAGAGAAAACCATTGATACACACTCCTTACTAGGGGCTTGCTCTGCTCATACAATCAATCTAAGTTTGTAGCCACTGGTGGAAAAGTTGATGGAATATTATGTCGTAATTATTTTAACACAGATAATTATACACCTATGTCAAAGAAAAGAAAAAAAGAGTGTTACACATCTTTGGTGAGCTTAGAATTAGAAGTGACAATGATTTACCAACGTTCTAGAAGTTGTGTTAGTCACCATGAGTCAGGCCAGTGCGATGCCGAAATAGAGAACCATGATTACACAAGAACTAACTTTTTAACCAACCGCGTGCACCACACCATTTCCATCGTTCACCAACCCCACAATCGGATACATTGTCTCATTACTCATTTCACACCCACTTTTTGTAAATCCTTTTTTTTTCTCGCATGCCCGGTTTTGTACAATTTTCTTAGTAACTAATTTCCTAAATATTACACGACTATTGTTTAAATAAAATTATAAAACCAAGTGACGATGGTAACTTAACATATCATCACTCTATGGGTTAACGTCGGAGATAGATTTCATTTTACTAGGGACATCATTTCTATATCCACTTCATTGCAGTTGTTCATTCCATAATTATTAACGGTACAATGGACAACATTACTTCCACACTGGAAATTCATTTTTTTTAGTTTTAAAAAATGAGAATTCATTTTTGACGGTTCTACGGCTCTATTGCACCAATATAAATTAAAATTTTATATAATTTTATTAGAAATTACGTCCGAATAATCTACTTTCATAATGCACCATATTAAATGTATCAGTAATCTAAATAAAATTGTTAAACAAAGAGGGTTTCATGCAAATGGTGTTATATCAGAGATGAGTCTATGGAGGAATCTTCATAGTTAATTAATCTCATTGGACATGATGAATCTCCTCCTCCTTCAACGTTTCCTAGAAAAAAAATAAAGAAGCTTCGTCTCATATATCACTTTCATCACTTCGTCTCCATCTTACAATTTAATAATCGTGTGCATTTAAATGCTCTAACCTCTAACGCCCATTTCGTTCCTGTATTCATTTTTCCATCATATACATTCCCAAAATCTTAATTTAATATCTTAAAGATACGTGTAGGGCAATAGGGATGGGCAGCAAATGGTTTTGATTCCGTGGGGGAGTTTCAAGAACTTGTCTCCCACGTCACCTAGACTGACCTAGCACCTTCGTTCTCATCACTACTCGAGTTCCAAAACCCTTAATTTTTGTAATCGACATATGAATGTGTGTACTTAAAAGTTAAAAACCAGTGTTTTCAAAACCAAACCAGACCAGTTCACTACAAAAAAAAGGTTACTTTGAATCATTTATTTTCTATATTTGTATTAGTTATAAATGATGTAAAAATATTTTACATCACTTAAATAAATGACTTAGTTTTTGGTGATACAAATAATTTGTATCATTTTGTTCAAAACTGATGTGAAAAAATTAAATATTTTCATCAGTTATTCTAAGTGATGTAAACATGTATCAATTATTGTAAATGATGTAGATGATGCATCAATTGTAAGAAAATGATATTAATATTTACATCAGTTTTCTAAATGATGTTAGTTTGGTATCAATTAAATTAAGTGATTTTAATTATTAATATCGTTAATTTTACTGACATAAATTAAAATAATTGATTTTAATTATTTATATCATTTATTAATAACTGGTATTAAATTAATATTACATACTTATAATAATTTAATTTAATCATTTATAATATTTTAAAATACTATTATTATTATTTGTATGTAACTGATGTTAAATAAAATTAGTAGATGAATTTATGTAAATAAATAAATTAAACAAAATCTTTTGTTATTAACTATTTTCCATTAAAATACAATATCTCGATGAAGAAATAATATAGATCCAAGCTTGAACAACAGCAAGAAGAAAAGATGAATTCATATAAAAATAGTAAAACAAATAAATAGACTTGCTATGAACTTTCTTTAGTTGTGATTCTTCTTCTTTGTCTTCTCCTTCCCTTCATATTTATTTCGATCATCAGTCTTGTAAGTGGCATGAAGATTAATCGCTTAAGTAGTGAAACTAACGAGTCGATGAATTCTCCTTCGATCACTTTTCCTTAAGACTTCTATTTTTCAAAATATTGTTGTCTCTTTTACTTGCGGACGTTCTGATCCTTCCTAACAATGAAAAACTATTTAGTCGTACACGAAGGTTCTAAATATCGTAAGTTCAAAGATGAGAATAAGAAGAGAAACAAAGAAATACCTTCAGAAATATTTTATCAGATTTGTGTGTCATAGTTTCCCTTCAAATCCTGCATAAGAAGAAACAGAATCCATCATTAAGACTCATATATGAAAAAAATGTGTAAACCTTAATGAAAATTTGCTTTGAATTAAATAGCTTTTGAAATGATAAAAAGACAGTTTAAGAAATTAAGAAGAGAGAAAGCCAAGAATGAGGACCATGATAGAAAAGAACGTGGGTTTATTGAAGTGAAACAGATATAACTATCGGAAGAAGATCCAATTAAATTAGAGTCACATTAAAAAAAAAAAAAATCAAAGCCATAAGAATCGTAACTTCTTCTAATATCTATTTTGAAGCTTAGAATATTTTGTGTAACTGATTAGTTTAAATGCGTTGTTTCATTTATCATCAATTTAACCAATTAATTAATTTGTTAGCATCGATTTTTTATTGATGGCAAATTTTGATCATTTTAATAAGTGATATCAACAAGAAATTATATACATCATTGATTTAATTGATATAACATTATGTGATAGTATCATTTTTGTTTAAGTGATACAAATTACAACAAAAATATATCACTTAGATAAACTGATGTCAAATAAATTAATAAAAACATCACTTATCATAATTGATGTAAAATTATATATATTTGCTTCATTTATAAATAAGTAATGTAAAATGGAATCACTTAATTTTGTGATACAATTTAAGTGATACAATTCAACTCTTTTTTTGTAGTGGTTTATTCCAGTTCGATCTTTGAAACATTGCTTAATACCACAAAAATAAAACTTGTGAACACAAAACCATCATACAATACATGCAAATGATTAATAAATTACTTTTGGGATAGGGATGGACTCACGGGTACCACTAAGATATAGATAAAAATCATTTAAACTCTACACCTTTAATGTTTCAATTAATGTAATTTTGTTTTTTTTTTTAAAGACACTAGTTGCTTTACACGGTGTTCTGCAAAAGTGCTTTAAAAGCAACAAAGGAGGAGCCAACAACAAACCAATGTATCTATCTACAGTACTGTCTTCTGAGTTCTCACTAACTTTCTGTCATTTTATATAAATAATCAAATAATCAGCTATAAAGATGAGTTATTTAGGAGTTGGATTCAGTCCCGAGAACGTCGCCGGAGCCACAATGAAGCTGAATGATCGTAAAGTGAGACTAATGGAGCTGATTCTGAGATGTTTGGTGTGTGCCCTCGCTCTCGTCGCCGCGATCCTCGTTGCTACAGACACACAAGTCAAAGAGATTTTCACCATCCAGAAGAAGGCCAAGTACACCGATATGAGGGCGCTTGTGTAAGCTCACGACAAAACCCAACAGTTTAATAGATTCCACATTTATATAAAGGCATAAAGCTCGTAATATTAGCATCTTTCTTTGAGTTTCAGGTTACTGGTGGTCGTTAATGGGATAGCCGCGGCGTATTCTTTGGTGCACGGGGTTCGTTGCGTGGTGGGTATGATGAAAGGAAGCGTTTTGTTCAGTAAGCCCCTTGCTTGGGCCATTTTCTCCGGTGATCAGGTTAGTCTCTGTTCTTGCTTGGTCCTTAAACTATTGAAGTCCTGAAAGTTGTATAAGCTTGATGTGACTTTGTGGGTCAGTTAATGTTCAGGACGAGTCGAAAAGTTTGGTGCCTGAGCTGTTGAGAAATCTATTGTTTGGTTATATTTGTTTCAATTGTTTGGTAGGGTACAAAAGTCTATGTACAAAGTACTAACAAAGTACTTATGATGGTGAATGTTTTCAGATGGGTCCTCATAATAAGAGCAATGAAATTGACTTGATCTTTGTATTGAAGATTAACAACTAATCAATCCGCTTTTTAGCATGTATAAGTACTGGCTTTGTCAATGACCTTTGTTATCTATGTGTAAGCAGGCAATAGCATATTTGACTGTGGCGGCCGTTGCAGCAGCAGCGCAGTCTGCAGCCTTTGCGAAGCTGGGCCAGCCAGAGCTTCAATGGATGAAGATATGCACAATGTATGGGAAGTTCTGTAACCAAGTAGGTGAAGGGATCGCGACCGCCTTGCTTGTTAGCATTGGCATGGTTTTGATCTCTTGCATTTCAGCTTTGGGTCTATTTCGTTTGTATGGGGGTACCAAGGCTCAGAAAAGCTCACGGTGGTGAAGGCTAATAGGCCATGGCTCATAGTGGTCTTGGACTTACCTTGTTTGTGTTAAATAATTGTGGTCTGCTTTCACTCTGTGTCTTTCAATGTGTATACCGTTTGTTACTACTTTCATGATCTCATTTGCACAATAATAATCAAGATTGTAGTTTGATAACGAGTCTATATACACTATTCTCTTGCCGAGCAAATGGGAAAACAGAACAGCCGGAGATAAGATTGTTCAATCCAAACCATAACATTTAAATCACAATATATAAAATTAATTTTGGCATAAACATAATATATCTTATGAGGGTTGAATATGAATGCAAGGAATCATAAGCATTTTTAAATTAATCTTAATAATTTTTTTTGACAATTTAAGGATCTGTGTATCTATATTATTAAAACTGAAGTATCTTTTGATACTATTTGGAAACAATGATAACAGTATTAAAAAGAAGTATGTTTGGAAACATGAATAATAATGTCATTTTATTATTTTCTTTTATTTACATATTTAGTCAATACATTTATAATAAATTAAAATTAAGTACTTCTTTTTTGTATTTTTTTTATTTGCAGATTATGCCACTGCATTTAAAATTAATTTAAATTAATTAATTACAATTCCAAAACTAATGGTGTTATTGATAATAGAAGAATATCAATTATAATATAGTATATATTATATAAAAAAATTCTAAAATATAGTATTACCTTATTTAATTTAGTCAAATATTATTTTTGAGAATTCAATTTTCAAAAAAACAAAGTATCATAAAGTTAATAAATTCATAGAAAACTAATTATAAAATTTAAATTTTTAATATGTTGTGTTATTTTAAAATAAATTAACAAAAAAGTAGCATGTTAATCTATGAATAGTACAATTAAGTTATAAAATTCTTAATATAATATTACATAAAAAATGTTATCAAATATCTATATTATAAAATAATATATATTAATCTATATGTAAATTCCAAAATATAAAAATATATATGTGATTTTTTTTATAAAATCAGCGGTTTATGAATTTACGTTGAGCACAAGTTAAATCAAAACATTTGCGCGCGGACACGGGTCAACATCGAGTAAACTCTTTAGCACCAAAGTAAATGTTTTATTCGATTGTGCCCAAAACCGACCCATCCTATGACTTCTAGGGTTTATCTTAGGTACTTTTTTAAACAACCAAATCTATTTTGGGGTTTTAGTTGCTTAATAACCAAAAAACGAAACCTCAACTCACCCATGGATATAACGAAGGATCACCATCCAAATCTTGAAGTGTTAACTTCATTAATCTAAAATCTTCACCTCACCAAAACCAATAGTTATATATAGGCGTGGCCTTAAAAGGGCTATTTATATATAGACTCAAGAGCATGTAAGTTATTAAATAAAAATTGTTCCCTTAAGTATATAGAGACTTAAATTGTTCAAAACCATAATATTTCTGAACTTTTTACGCTTTGGGGACAAGATGGAGAAGAAGGTAGCTTTGGTGTTGTCGTTGATGTTGCTTATGTCTATGAACTCGGTGTTGGTTTCGGCTGAGGAAGCAGCACCAACGATTGGACAGAGGGTAGACACAGCTACTAACGACGTTACCAACTTCTTCAATGAACACGCCGGTCCTGCCGCAGATACCGTCTCCTCTACCGCCAAATCCGTCTACAACTGGTTTGGTGACAAAGCTAAGTATGTTTTATAAATCATTTTTTGCTCTCATGTCTCTCCTAGCTTCTAGTCTACATGATTTTCAAGATTTTGCAATACATATAATATTTGTTGTTGTCACCTTTAACCAATTCGCGGTAATTATAAGTTAGAAGCATTGTAATAAAAAACGAATTTCAAAGATTTTAGATTTATCTTTATCTAACTATTTTATATTGCATTATAAAGTTTTAACCTTGAAAAATAATTATATTTGTTAATATATAATTAATTATAAATTAAAAATGAATTTTATTTATTTATAATTATCCTTATTTAATTTTTTATATTATGTTATAAAGTCTTTATCAACTTTGAAAAATAATTATATTTGTTAATATATAATTAATTCTAAATTAAAAACGAATTTCATGAATTCGATCATTATCCTTATCTAACTTTTTCATATTGTGTTATAAAGTTTTTATTAACCTTAAAAATAATTATATTGGTTAATATGTAGTTAATTATGAAAAATCAATTCGCAAAGAATTTATGTATATGTAATTTATATTGTGTTATCCAAAACATTATTAAAGATAATTTTATTATAATTTTTTGTTATGTCTAAAACGTGATATTAATTTATTACTAAATATTTTAAATTTATATATAGAGAATTTGTTTAGTTTATTATTACATATTTTGAGTGTATGAACAATAAATTATTATTATTTACTTAAATTGATTCTATATATTTATTTATAGATATTAATAAAAATTATTAAGTCCGCAAGTGCGGATAAAACACTTAATTATAAGTTAGAAGCATTGTAATAAAAAATAGGTTCCACAACTACTATATCTATAACTTTTTTTTTTAACACATCTATAAACATTTTTGTTTCTTTTGTAGGGAATGGGGTCTATAAATGATCTTTTTATGAGAGAAGGAGTTGCGGACTTGGGATTGGAAACAGTTTCATGTATAAAAATTGATCTCTATGTACAATTTTATGTAACATTAACATTATAAGAAAGAGTTGATATTCTATGTTTGTCTTCTATACATTTGAGCAACTGCACAGTAAAAAGAACTGCACATTAAAAGAATGATTTGCTATTATGAAATTTGTTGACAAAATGAAACTTGCAGTGTACAGTACAAAATCATTTCTTGGATTTTATGTGATCGTATCAAGGTGGTTATGCCGGAGATAATATTAGAGACGCAAGGGGTTTTTGTTGGAGGCCGATTAATTACAGACAACGTCATTATAGCGCATGAACTGGTACATGCATTGCGAACTAATGATAAAATAGGTAAAAGCTGTATGGCTATTAAGACAGATATGTCAAAAGCCTATGATCGAGTTGAATGGATTTTTTTGGAAATCTTACTGGAACAAATGTGTTTTGACCGTAAATTGGTAGCTTGGATAATGTCTTGTGTTTCCACTGTCACCTTCTCGGTGTTACTTAATGGTCGTTTTCATGGGTTTCTCAAACCGGAAAGAGGAATACGCCAGGGAGATCCGTTATCACCTTTTCTTTTCATTTTGTGTGCCGAAGCATTAGTTCATGTCTTAAACAGAGCTGAAGCTCAAGGAAAATTGCATGGTATAAAATTAGCTGCAGGTAGTCCATCTATTCATCATTTGCTTTTCGCTGATGACAGCATGTTGTTGTGTGAAGCCTCTGTTCAAGATAGTGAAGAAATTTTGAAAGGTTTGAAACTTTATGGGGATGCGTCTGGGCAAATGATTAACCCTTTGAAATCTTCCATCATTTTTGGAAAAAAAATAGAAGATGTGACCAAGCAGACTATTAAAGAGTTTTGGGTATAGATAAAGAAGGTGGTGAAGGGTCATATCTTGGCCTCCCTGAGTGTTTTCAAGGTTCAAAAAGGATATCTTAAATTTTATAAAAGAAAAATTAGAAGGACGGTTGCAAGGGTGGTACTCTAAAACTTTGTCGATGGGGGCAAAGGAAGTTTTAATAAAATCGGTTGCTTTAGCGCTTCCAATATATGCAATGTCAGTGTTTAGATTACCAAAAGGTCTGTGTGAACGAATTACTAGTGCGATCATAGAATTTTGGTGGAGTAGTGGGGATAAAAAAGGAAGATTCCATGGGTTTCTTGGGAAAAGTTGTGAAAACCCAAAGAACAGGGTGGTCTTGGGTTTCATGACATTGGTCGTTTCAATCAGGCTTTGCTTGGGAAACAAGCCTGGCGTATTTGGAATAAGCCTGATTCTTTGGTTTCCCGAATTCTTAAAGATAAATATTTTAAAGATGGTCAATTTCTTGATTGTGGAATGGGGACACGTCCATCATATGCTTGGAGGAGTATCATGCATGGTAGAGAATTACTAAAAAAAGGATTGTATCGACATATTGGCAACGGGGCTGATTCTAATGTTTGGGCTGAAAGCTGGATTATAGACACCATTCCTCGGCCTCCAATGTATCGAGAGAATAGCTCCATAAATTTAACACTAAAAGTTTCGGATTTACTTAGGGAAGGAACGAATCAATGGGATATGGACTTATTACAACAAACGTTTACACAAGATGATGTTCAAAGAATCATACTTTTGAAACCATCACTGGTATCTGAAGATTCGATTCGATGGGGTTTCACACCAAATGGTCTATATTCGACTCGGAGTGGATATAAGCTGTTAGAGACTTTGGTAGATTTTGATCAACCCCAAGGACATTCGCTCACTCCTATTGAAAAACAATTGTGGAGAGATTTATGGAAGACCAAAGCTCCACCAAAAATAAAACATTTTATGTGGCGTGCTCTCTCTGGTGCTTTAGCTGTTAAGCAACGCTTGACTACTCGGGGAATTCATATTGATCCAACATGTTCGGTATGTGGTAATGGTGCTGAGAGTATATGCCATGTTCTTTTTACATGTGTTAAGGCACGGGCCGCATGGGAGCAATCTAACCTTCCTTTACCTTTTGGAGGTTTCTCTCGGAACTCTACCTTTTTAAATTTGGTTCACTTGATCAAAATGGCTAAGAGCTCTGCTACGGATATACATAAAAGGAATGTTTTTCTATGGTTGCTGTGGGAAATTTGGAAGGCTAGGAATGCCTTTGTTTTTGAAAATAAGGATATCGAGCCTTCTTTTATTTCTAAAAGAGCTTATGAAGAAGAATCCATGTGGTTTGATACATTTACAACAACGATGGATGGTGTGAGGACCGAAAATATGGAAAGAATTTGCTGGAAAAAGCCTGCCAATGGACTCGTCAAATGTAATGTTGGATCCTCATGGGTTAAGTCCAACCATCTCAGTGGTGCTTCATGGATTTTACGTGATGAAAATGGATGTACCATCATGCATAGCCGACGCTCCTATTCCTATATGCGCACAAAAACAGAAGCTGACTTGTGGGCTCTTTTCTGGGCAGTTGAATGTTTACAAAACCTACATTTCTCCAATATTATTTTTGAGACTTCCTCGGAGAGCCTACATGACGTCTTCACAAACCCTGCTCGGTACCTTAGCTACAGCCATATTCGTCACAATATCTCTTTTCTTCTAGCAAGGATAGATTCCTGGAGTTTGGACCACGCCCTTCCTGAACGTAATGAAGTTGCTACGGCAATTGCATTAAGTGTATCTCGGGATCTGCGTCATCAATCTTACATTGCTCGAAGTTATCCGCCGTGACTACATCACTTACTCATTTTGGAGGCCCAACAAGAAGGAGAGTAGGTGAGGTCTCTTTTATCTTCCTTGATGTCTAGTGACATCTCAGTATAACCTTTCTTTATTATCTTTTTGTAAACTTCATCCTGTTGGACAAACCAGTGTTATAAAAAAAAAAAAAATGAAACTTGCATATGCCATATAAACATGAAATATGAGCCAACGTGGGTGAACTAAAATTTATTTCTATAAGCATTTTGACTAAAAGCATATAGGTTCACTATATTAAATACTAAAATTATATGGAATAGATGAAGGTGTTAAAAATAACTTATACTATAAAGCAAGAAAATATGTCTACTATCTATTTATTTAGTATTTTATTTATTTTCTACTTGCTTTCATTGTAATAATTAAATAAAAATTTGGAAATTGTTTTTACTAAAATCTAGGCATGTTCAATATGGTGTTCGGTCCGGTTTCGGTTCGGTTTTTTCAGTTTTTGGTTATTCGATTTATAAAAATTAGCTACCATATTGGAACCATATTTAATTTGGTTTGGTTCGGTATTTATACTACCGGTTTTCGGTTTTATACCAAATAACATTATTATTTGATTTGGTTTCATATTATATGAATTTAAAAAAATATATATATTGTCAAAACTATCATTTATTAAAATAATCCTAGGTGTTCATGAATATAAAAATGTGAAATTATCAACAAACAAAATGACCAACGATTCATTTTTGTACAGCTTTTCTTATTTTCTCTTTGTTCTTCCAAATAAATTACATGGTACAATCTAATTTCCCAATTTTTTACACCATGCAAAATCAAATCAAATTTAGATAATAGTTGAAGAAAATAAAATAAAATTATTGAGATATATCTCCACAAGGAATAAAAAACTAAAAAAAAAACCTATTCCAAGAAAATAAATGGTTATATAATGTATATATTTATATATTTTTTCTTTGATCGGTTTTGTTCGGTTTATTCGGTTTAATCGGTTATAAACCTAACCATATCCAAATCCTACGGTTTTTATAAAATCATATCCATTCAGTTTATATGGTATATACCAAATCCAAATCATATTGTCTATTTCAGTTCGGTACGGTTCAATATTACCATATTGAACAGCCCTAAAAATTAGTTTATTAATAATTCATATCCATTCAGTTTATATGGTATATACCAAATCCAAATCATATTGTCTATTTCGGTTCGGTACGGTTCGGTATTACCATATTGAACAGCCCTAAAAGTTAGTTTTTTCAAATTATTAATATTTAAAAATATACGAGAACGAGTAACAAAAAAAAAGCGAAGAAACTATAATACTCAACCTAGTGGTATAATCGTCCTAGCGTCGAACAAG